GCCACATGACAACAAATCTTGTGAAATCAATGAAATCTGTCTTCAAAGGCATCTGAAACCTACCAATAATCGCTTTGGTGAGAGCAACCTATTTTAGGCTCGAGTCACTTTTTGAGATCAGACGTTCAAAATAGAGTTTTGGGTTACCATCTATGCTGCTGTTCAGTGATAGTTCAGTGAAATTCATTGAGGAGGAAGCTGTCAAAGCTAACACACACGTGGTCACAGTGTTTGATTGTAATAAAGGTTGGTTCAGTGTTTCTGGGTTAATGGATCATAATGAAGGAAGGCCGAGGGGTTACTATCGAGTGGAACTAGATAGAAGTTGGTGCGACTGTGGAAAGTTTCAAGCCTTTTGTATGCCTTTCTCCCATGTCATATCCGCATGTTCAAAGGCTCGTCAGGACCCTTCCAACTTACTATCTTCCGTTTACCAAGTCATAAGCCTATGTAATGTCTACAACACTAGCTTTCTGGTGGTAGCAAAAGAGGGCTATTAGACTGCATATCAAGGGGATATAGTCTGGCACAATGAAATAATGCGAAGAAAGAAAAAAGGTCGCCCTAACAACACGCGTATTTGAACCGAAATGGATACGAGAAACAAAATAGTGAGATTATGTAGTTCATTTCGTCAGCCCGAACACAATCGTACAAACTGTCTCAATGTTGGACCAAGCACAACAACAAAATTTTAGATGTAATTGTTTTACTTTATATCAAAAACAACTTTCATTTCATAAATATCATAACATTTGGTTACGATAATTTAAACAATTAAACAACAAAACAAACAAATACAAGGACTAAACAACATAACCATGTGATTATCACCATTAGGAAAGTTTCCTGAGAACTATACATCATCATGTGAACATTTCTGTCAGTTTTAACATTCTCCTAGAAACGAATTTCTCCATTTTGGTTGAACGTGGTAATAAGCCTTTGAATTCTTCTTATCTTTTCACCCTCTGCAATGTCTCCATCTAATCAACAGATCAAGCTCCTATTAAGATGTTCGAACGTCTTTGTATTCTAAAGTCGGATCTTCATCGGAGGAATTATTGTCAAATAAATTAAATCGACATCTCTCTTATGGACATAAGGACACATATGTAAAGGCATTTTGAAGAAAATGGAAGGAGATTGAAGAAAAATGGAAAGAGATAGTAAGAAGAAGTGCGAAAAAATGAAGGGGAATGGATGTTGTATTTATAGAAGATGGGTATAAATGAGTAGCCAAGTGCAGTGGCGCATGCTCTAGGGGATGAATGTGTGCGCTAATGCATGTGGCGCCATGTATGTGCATGAGCCATTCAAAATGGCGCCTCCTTGTGCTTGTAGTATGCATGCGCCATTTTGATTGACACATTCTCTTGTTCTCCAAGCCAAATATGGTTAGTTTGGTAATTTATTTGAAATGTTGGTTTTTTTTAATATTATTTAAAAATAGTGGTTATTTAAAAAAATTGATACCAAATCGTGGACAAAATTATAAAGGATAAAAAATATAACTATTTTAAATTTAAAAAAAATTATACATATTGCAGACCAACTCATGAATCAAGATATGTATGAAGGGGTATTGACTAGTGTGCGGATACAAAATGGAGAGACATCTGATTTTTCCATTAGAATTCTTTTGCATCAAGGTTCAACCATAAGCCTCTACCTTTTTACCTTAATTTTGGATGTATTCACGGAACACATCCAAGAGTTAGCACCAAGATGCATGCTTTTGTAGATGATATAACTCTTTTTGGAGAGTCGAAGGAGAATTTAAATGAGGTTAAAAACTTGAAGATAAAATTTAGAAATCCATGGTTTTCGACTAAGTAGAAGTAAGACGGAGTATATGGAATGTCAGTTCAACAAAAGAAGAAGTGTTTATAACCTAAAGTTGAATGTTGGAGATCATATTATCCCTCAAGTGATACAGTTTAAATATCTTGGGTCCATAATACTAAATGATGGAGAAATAGAAGGGGATGTAAACTATTGAATTCAAGTTATGTGGTTGAAATGAAGAAGGGCATCAGGTGTTTTATGTGATGCAATGTACTGCTCAAGTTGAAGGAAAAATTTTATCAGATTGCAAGACATGCAATTTTGTACGAGAATAAAATAAGTGTGATAGAGATGAAGATGTTGCAGTGAATGTATGGTAAGACTCAACATGATAGAATTAAAAATGGAAATATTAGAGAGAGTGTCAAGGTATCGCTTATAGTGGAGAAGATGGTGGAAAATAGACTTAGGTGGTTTGGACATGTAGAAAGAATACTGATATATTCTATAGTAAGGAGGGTAGATTAGATAGATAGGAGAAAAATAATTAGAGTAAGGCGAAGACCTAGAAAGATTATTAGAAAAATTATTAAAAAATATCTCAAAATTAGTGATTGGGATATGACCATAATCTTTAATAGAAAGTTAAACCATATAACCGACTCCTATTAATAGGATAAACTTTAACGTTGTTGTTGTTTAAGATTAAATACTCAACCAATACAAATAAAAATTTAAATGGAGCAATAATTTTGGCCAAAATTTGCGCAAACTACGATCTACTTCGCAATTTATATACCGAACTGTAGGGCTGACAATGAACCAAACTAAATTGAAAATAGTTTGGAATTCAGTTCGACAATTATATCGTTGAACTAGGTTCATGAACCAAATGAGTTAAATATGAACGAAAAACTAAGTTTGTTAATAAGCTAAACTTGAACTAAATATAATTTGACTCGTTAGGTTCATGAGTCAACTCGATTATATTGTCTTTACGAGTAAGTTTAAAGATTTACTCTAAATTTTAACCCTATATTTTATTTTAATCTAATGGTGGAAAATGTAGAGTGGTATCTCATATGGCAGCAGATATTCTTGTTATTCTAATGTTTACCGTGGCTTTGGAGTCGACCTTTAGCACCGGATGGAGAGTTATTGATTTATTTTGAAAATTGTTTAGTTTTTGAATTAGTGAATTTTTGAAATAAATTTAAATTTCAATCTGATAATTTTTAATTTATTTCAATATTTAATTTTAAAAAAATATTAATTTAAAATATCAAATATATAAAAAAATATATATTTAAAAAAAATGATTTTTAAGTCCGTTAAGCAAGTGAGATGAATCTAACGAGATGAACTGAGTTGTTCTTGAATTATAACGAGTCGAGTTTGAATTTAAAAAAAAAATCGTGTCAAACTCGAACCGAGATTTAAGCTGAACAAATTTTTAATAAGTCGAATTGAGCGGAAGAGAATTCAACTCGACTCGACTCATTTTCAGTCATACCCAACAATATTTTTCATGCATATTTGATTTTAGTATGGAAATTTTTCAGGCCGTCTCTCGAAATGTTCAAATTAAAAAAATAAATCACCAAAATAATCCTTCTATTAAATCTCCTATATTTTCAGAGAGTGAATTGAGAAACTTAATTTTCTTTCTCTTTATAAGGCAAAACATGCTAATTAAAGTTCATGTCTATGTTGAAATAAAAATAGCTATCTATTTTTTTAGTTTTTACATTTGTTAAAATATAAACAGATAGTTTTAATTTAATTTTGATTTTAATGTATAATATATTTTGTGATATGCACTTTAGGTAGAATCGATGATGCAACATATATAAATAAAAAGTAATAAATAAAAGTAGATTTTCCAATTTCCTTCTTTTTGACTAAGGTTGTTAGTTACATTATATAGTAATTTAGTAACTTTTTCTTATCGCTTATTGTAGAACAAAAACAAACTAATAAAAATGGAAAAGTATCATTTTTACCCGGAAGATGAATTATTAACTGTATTAATTGATGATGATGAAGGATGTCTCTTCTCATTTTCTAATCTATATATCCATGCATACTCTCCTTCCCTCTCAAATTTCTCTTACAAGATCTATTCTAACACTGAGAGATTTGTGAATAAATTTCTCGTAAGATCATCGGTATTGCTAAATAATTTCAAACAATGAATCTCTTAGAGCAACAAACACGACCATAAGAGAAAAAATAAAATAGAAAAAAACACATAGCAAATGAAAAGGATTGATTACACTTAGTGAGCAATTCCTTCCTAAACATATCCAAACAAACCACTTTAAAAAATCACCCTTTTTAACGAAAACAAATGGCCCATGGTAATAATAACACGATTGATTCTCCTACCATAAGATACTAAGGATATGAAAAATTGCAAATTCAAAATAATTGAACAAATATAAAGAAAATATATTAGATGAAATTTTGAGTTAGAACTTACATGATTTATATGAGATAAAAGTAAAAAATCTCAATTAATAAAAACAAAGAAATCATCTAAATTATAAGAACAAAATAAATACATTAACTTGAAAATAAAAAATAAGTGTTTCCATACAATAATTTTAGAGATAAAAAATATGATGATTTGCATCAAAATCTTCTAAAACTGTGTTGGTCATTATTGCATTTCATCTATTTCAATCTGATCTCTTCTTCATCGTTTATCGTGTGTTTGAAATGTATCACTTTTCAAATTTCAATTTTCTTTGTTAAAATTCTATATTTTCATTAAGAGGGGAAGAAAAGAGTTCAGCCATCATGATGTTGGCCAACTCAACTATTCTTCCCTTTTAACTTTACTTTGACCAACAAAAGGATATCGCTTTCACGAGTTAGAATTTTCATATATTTAAAAAACATACTCTCTAATTTTGTACTAGATATTGATTCCTTTGCTTACATAATATAGGACTTGTTTGCATTCTATTCATAGTCCTATATACACATAGTTGTCAATCGATCTTATCCTAATAAACACAAAAATTCTGATTAGCATAAATCATATATTGAACATATCCTTTTCTTTGTTGTTTTGTAAAGTAGTTCACATGATGGAACATTTTATGTAAAAGGGCATTTGGGAAGTCTCTTGAAAGCCAGAATGTGAAAAATTAATCCCCTGCTAATCTCTGGACATTATACTTTGTTGAGCATCCACAGTTTCTAACTTACCATAAACAAAACTGCATTCACAAAGTAAACAGCATTATTATTATATATAAAGCTTTAGAATTAGTAACACGGACTCTGACACGTCTTTTATCAGAGGTGTCGGTGCTAGAAAGGTGAGTAGTAAAGTTAAAAGGTAGGTGTACATACACATGTTCTTTTATTCTGCTTTTTGCTCTCAACATAAGCCGAAATCTCCTCTTGCTTAGCAAGTGAATCCTCTAAAGCCTGTCAAAGCAAAATTATTAACAAGACTAAAACTTAAAAATGAGCAATTTTATTGTGTTCTTGTGTGCGTTTTATTTATTTGTTTTTTTTTGGAATAATCAAATATGCTGTTCTAAGAGATTGAATACCTTCTTGGTGTCCATGAGTTGTTTTTCTAATAAATCCGCTCGACTAATAGTATTATTTAGCATTTCCTCCTTCTCAGGTGGCATTAAAGCAGGCGTATGATTAATGTTTGTCATCTTCTGTTCCAACTCAGTCATGCGTTTCATGACAGTCATAAACTCTGCAGGAGGGAGAGAGAGAGAGAGGGGTGGATATAAATACATTTGACACAAATCAAAGCCATATCTCAAAACAAATATATAATTTTGTCCACAACCATTTACCTGTTGATGTTGCCATGGCGTCACTCTCGTCAATTTTTTTCTGAGAAGCTTTTTTATCATCCGTGGAGATTAGGTCAGCTTTTTTCTGATCAGTTTTTTTATCATCCACGGGGGTTGAATCCTCTTGCTTGGAAACTTCAGTAGCAGGGACCTGTGAGGCTTATATTTCTCAGACAGTTAGAACTAAAGAAATAATGGACATTAAGAAAACTAAAATGCCAGAGAATAATGGAGGATGAAATAACTCAATAGATCTATTATGTAATACCCTTTACATATTCTCAAAATTTTAACTATAATTTTAAAATCCAAGTAAGTTAGCTTATGTAGTTGTAAAAGGTTAAAAGACTTTTACATAGTCTTAGTATATAAAAGGGGCATTAAAAAGAGTTAATACTAATATTATATGTCTGTATTTTATACTATATATTACATATTATGTATGACTTGCAGTATAAGCAAAAAAGTAGAACGGTCTCTAAAGCTTCCATGAGAAGCCATATGAATGTTACAAAATTAAAATTGAAGACTCTTTGGCTATAATGGTTTGATAAAATTAAATGTAAGGATTTATCATTTTGATTTATATTTAGAGCTACTAATTAAAAAATTTACATACTCTGTTATGACATGAAAGATGACTGTCTATTCTTAACCGGAACCAAAATGGATATTAACATACCTCTTCACAATTTGGAGAAACCTCTGAGGTGAGATTTTCCTCCAACTTAGAATCCTTGTGGTCCTCCTAGAGTATATCCACATCAATCAGTTAAGAAATTCATAAATACCAAAAAAAAAACACTAAGAGTTGCTAGAATGAGCTTTCTCACCTCAGCAATTGTGTTCTCTTCCTCAACAATAGACTCAGATTTTCTTGAACATTTGTGAGCACCATTCTGAACCAGCTGCAATTCCATTCATACGACTTAAAGTTACTAGCTGAAATTGAAAATAGAGATGCAAAAAGAAAAAAAATATAGAGGTAAAAGAGAAGAACTACGGGCCCACCTTCATTATATCTGCATCAGTCCATGGTCCCTTATCCGAACGCATACATCCTCCTTGATCAGCACATGTACATGTACCTCCTAAAAAGTCAGGCAACTCACTGACAAAGAAAAAGAAAACACAATGGAATCGATGAAGAAACTTCTCAATAACCCTTAATTAGTCAATGTTATTTAAATTAGGATTGTCAAATTAGGAAACCAGATACTGAGATATTCAATCTGAACTCACCTTGCATCAATTACTTCAAGCAACTTAGTATCATACTTGTTGCCAAGAACCTGATCATATATAAATTAACATAAGTTTTGGTGACAGAGTTTTCCCAACAAAACAAGCAGACTAATTAGGATTAGGTCTGGGCTAACATGGATTTTTGCTGTGGTCTTGGGATCAAGGAAGGATTTTACGGTGTTCCATAGTATTCTAAATCCAGAACCTGCATTGATGATGAACATGCGATTCAAGGTCTGCAGTGAAGGAACCAATTTCATGATATTACTCAGTAATCCATGATATTTATTCACAACAAAACTTTTCCCCCATAATTTTAACCAAAAGTAGATAAATAATAGTACCTCTGGATAGTTGTCACCATCAATCTTCTGAATGCGAGTAACAAGTTCCCTAGCATGTTTGTTGAAGCTTTTAAGCCCCTGCGACATTGAAACAATATGTACGTCAGGTGTGGCAACTTTTCCATATATAATTGACTATTAACTATTTCTCATGCGTACCACTCCCTCCACATCCAGGATAGTCGTACTTTGATCGATGTGTTTCTTGGCAGCAATTGAACAAGCTGCAAACTTTACATCGAATGTCCTCTCAAACTCCTTTACATGGTATTTGATATAGCGATCCATGGTTGTGACTTGCATCATCTTGGCAGCATCGACTTGTCCTAATCTTTCTATGTACACAGGTCGTCCTTCTTTGTCTACTCCATGATGTCCTTGTGGATAATATTTCAATACTTCATCAATTTCCTTGAATTCGAATTCCTAATGTAATAAAGGACACAAAAGAATACACAACATAAATTAAATCAATTAAAAAACTTCCAAAATCACATCCCCACAAGCGTTACACAAACATTGTTATTACAAGTTACAACCAAGTACCTCCCCAATAGTGTCAGCACCAAATTCCGTCCTCCATTTCAGCATATCAGACCACATCAGCTTTGATTTATCGATTTCAAATTTCCTGGCCTTTAGGAATCTATCAAAAAAATAAAATACACAAATACATAAGTAATAGGAAAAAGGCTTAGAGCAAGGGCTTCATTGCAATGCATGCAAAATTGCCAATGGTAGAACAAGAAAAAGTATAAACGCACAACAAGAAAAAGTAACCTAAGCATCATATGATAGTCATCATGCTTTGCAGGGAGGAGATCATCCGCTATAAGAGCTTCACGGAACTCTTCAACAGCTTTCAACTCCTCAGCATCGTGAACATCCTCAATTTCAACAGACATGACCTTGCTGCTCCGCCTGCCCTTTCTTGACAAAGAATTTCTAAGAATGTTTGAGGCATTCATTGCTTTCTTCTTAAACGAACCTACAACATCATATTGTTCGAAAAATCCACTTCCATAACACACTATAAATAGATGAATACTAATAGATAACTAAACTATATTTAGTTGTTGAATTAGCATCTCACATAAAGAAGTTTACCATTCCCAGCAGACACAGGTGCGGCGGACATTTTGTTGATTCCTTTTGCTGCTCGTAATGTAGAGGAGTTGAAGCGAAAGATAGAAGAATCAAGCAATCATATCATGCAGGGCAGAAAAGTAAAAGCACTCCCAAATGCCCTGCCTGCAACTCCACCACCAACCAATATTTCATTAGACACACAACATACATGTTTATATATATTTAAGTTGACGCCCACAACTGCAATTGCAGCCACAATATTTGTCTATCGATGCAAATTCATTTCGAATGATTGAATTAATTTTGTAAAATTGATTCTAGATTAAAAAAACAAGTTGAATGTACAATGATTTATGTTTAAATATATTCATGTAAAAATGAATTTAACATCAAATTCAAGACTAAGATCAATAGTAAAAGTCGAAAGCTACAAATTCAATTCTACTCAATAACATTCAAACATGTCAAAATCAATTCCACGTCTCCAAATCAACCTCCAAAAATAAAACCAAACATGCACTATAAAGTTTCTAGAGGTCTTTGCAACGACATTGCAATCGCAATTGCGGCTACATTGGCAGCATATTCCTATATTTTATCAATATCAAAGTTCAATCACAAAACATGAATTTTTGCCATATATTTCTTTTCTTACACTGTGTCAACAAAGAAGCCAGATAAAGAAAAACCAGGAAGCAAATTAGGAAGAATGAAATTGAAAGATCAAAGAGATTTAGGTAAAATTGCACATTGCATATGAAAAAACTTGTTTTCGAAATCAAAGGAAATTGAAGAGGAGAAATGTATGAAAATGAATATTTACCTCTAGAAGCGAATGGGTAGCGGGAGAAGGAAAGAGAAGAGAGGTTATAGAAGAAAATGCAAGATAAAACCATTATTATCCTAAAAAAGACTAAATTTGGAAAATTGGGGTAAAAACAGTGAAGCACCATTGACCAAGTCTCAATAAGGCCGTGAATGTCTCTGCAATTCAGAATTAGAATACCCAACAGATGACACAAGTATGGGAGTTATGGACAGACCTAAAAGATAAAGATTATTATCACTGGGATTGTTATTCTCATTAGGAAAAAATCACTAAGTTTGTTATTGCTTTTTTTTTTTAATAAATAGTATCATTTTTATATAAAATATTACATTTAATAAATATAGTGTGTAGGGATATTAAATGCACGCGGATTCTAACCTAAAAATATCATGTTTATTCAATTTGAAAAAGTAAATTTTAACCATTAAATTATATGATTAAAAAATATTTTATACAAAATAATAATTTTTTTTGAAGTTTCAAAAAATGAATTATTGTTATTTAGATATTTAATAAGTTAATTTTTTATGAAATTTATGAGATTTTTTCCAATTTTTACAAAGGTCGTTATTAGATACTAGTATTGAGATCTTCATTTTGACATTGAGAAGGGAAAGGTCTCTTTAAAACATGTTCATCTTTAGACGTGACTTCTTAAACGTTTGTTAATGCCCAGGACGTTGAGGTCTAGAGGATGCATTGTTGAAGATGGTGGTGGAGTGCATGAATTGACTGATGTTTTGGACCGCCCACAAGGGCCAATGAGCGAATACCCAATAATGAAGCAACAAAGCATTACATGCAAAATATGTGGATTTATTTCCTTGTTGAGTAGACAATCCCACGCGTGAGTACTTTGCCAACCATTCATATCCATGCATAGTCTCACGCGTTGAGTTGTCAATCGCTTCTTCTATTTAAAGAAAGAAACGCATCATTTCTCTGGTATTCAAATCCTTTCTCATTCAAACACAACTTTCACATTTCATATTGACTTGGAAGTTGGAGTGTTAATCTTGCAGGTCAGACCTCTCTCCACTGCATTGGAAGCTCATAATCACTAAAGTAAATTATGCATCCTCACTCTCTTATCAATTATGGTTCCATTATGGAACATTGGCGCAATATGTGGGGATCAATCTCTAATTCCTACGAATTTCCATGATCAGATCTCTATTATTTCAGTCGGATCTCTTCCATTAGAAGTGCATATCTCAATTCCTTGATCGTTTCTCTCGAATTTCAACATCCTTCTTCCATACCTCCCCTAAGATCTCCTTTAGATTCATACATTGATGGCTTCCAAAGTTACTCGTTCCACGATTCAACAGAAATTTTGTGTCGTCATTGCTGAACTTTCCAAAGATCACAACCTCTTTCTCAAAAGGCATATGATTCAGTCTCGGTAACTTCTTTATCTGTTCTTTCGCTGCAAGATCCTCTCTAACCCAAGACATGTAAAAGAGCATTTCATCATCTTCCTTTCCTCAAATCTTCTCCACAACACCATCAGCGATTCACTTAGACCTCCACCAGTGCATGTAATTCCAGGACAAAAATGCCCCCTGGCTTTCAACTACTGCAAGTTAATCTTGGCATGCAAGGGGCCAAGGGTCTGTTGAACATTGTTCATAACATGGTGCACCAGAAGAATTCTTAAGCCTTAGCAAAAGTAATATTCAGACTTGAAGAGAGCCTGCAATATTTTAATCCAAGGAATAATATTGTGCATGAAGCAAAGTCACAAAAGAACTAAGTCGTCATCCCTGAGCTGATACCAATCCAGGCGACAACACATCAATAATAAGTCTTTAAGTCACCAAGCCGACAAAGACATCATAGATACATGACTCCTTCCCATGATCCTAAAGTAGGATGAGGTAGCCATACTCTTCCAAAATTATGTCGCCTTAAAGGAAAGGAAGATACTCCAATCCCTGAGCAAAAGAGAAACTTCTTATATACTCGCATCCTGAACAATAAGACTATTATCATGCCCATGGGGATGTGAAATGAAAACTATTTACATTAACTCTCACTGGATCATCGGTGACTTGGTTTAAATCCCTAAGTATTGATTCTTGAACAGATCTATGTGAGACCTTCACCACCCATTTCACTACTAGAAAGAAGCAACCTACAATTATAGGCGTGATCAGTGGAATCTCATAGGGCAAGAGAGAAAGCATGTGAGGATATATTGACTGTTTTACTAAGGTGGTTGTGGTCATGGAAGGCTCATATAAAAGTTTGAAGTGTTAAATCTTTGAGAAGGGCTTGAGGCAAGACTACCTGTTTTAAGAGAAACTAGGGTGTAAAAAGGCCCACGACCTGAAAGACTTACTAAGTAAGACACAACCCTACATTCAATATGAAGAAAAACTCTTAGCCATGGGGAACAACCGTGGACTTGGGAATTTTAGATCTAGTAGCCCATCAGAGAAAGATGTAAGTTGGCTTAAAGAAGAAAATAAGCATGAATCATGCTCCATGTTCTATTATTATACTCCCATAAACACTTCACGAGAGAAAAACCAAAGTTCAAGGAAGTCAGGATCAGGATCTCATATCTGGTAAAAGAATCTTCTTGGATCGATAAATCCAAATATTGTCGTTTCCACAAAATCCATGGTCATAACATAAATGATTGTATCAAGCTAAATAATGCAATTGAGGTAATAATAAAGAAGGGTAGGTTAGCGGAATACACCAAGGATGGTAAGAGAGTCCCCAAGAAAATTGTCTAAGCTTTTGCCGACAATGGGGAGGAAGAAGGACACAAGGGGAAACTCTAATACTTTTCTCTATACCAAGAGCATAATGAGACCAATCCTTATATTCTATGATAGTGAGAAGATTGTGGAATCCCTAACGATATCTTTCCCTTAGTAATAACAACCATGATCGCCAACTTTGACGTCTTTAGAGTTCTTATTAATGGAGACATTTCTTATGACATCATGTACTTGAATCTCTTTGAGAAGATAATATTGAAAAAGGAGAAGTTGTGGCCATATGAATGATTAAACCTACAGGTCTTCACTGGAATGGTAACCCATCCATGGGGATACATTGGGATAATGGTTACATTGGGAGAATAAGGAGATACTAGAACTATTGATTCCCAATTCCTAGTAGTATCCTGCAAGAGTGTCTATAACTGCATCCTAGGTTGGTCCTTTGCATCACTCTTAACTGCAATAGCTTCCCTTGTCTACCTCAAGATGAAGTACCACATTATCCATGACGAGTCGATGATGATAAGAACCAGCCTATCTAGAGCGAAGAGGATAAACAAGTATTTGCAGTAGGAACAAAAATAAGGTGAAGCCAAAGCCATGGAGATCAATGCAGCCTTACTAGTTGGACAACTGAGAGACATGGCCATCTTACATCCTATGGGTAAGGAAAGCATAAACGGTTGATCCAAACAAGGTCAAAACAATCTACAATGTCCCTCGTGACCAACAAGCAGTGGCTATGCCACTTGCTTATCTTAATCTAAGTTTTCCTTTGTTAAAAGGAATGACACATAACTAAACTTTTATTACATTGATTGACTAAATAAAGAAGAAATTTCTACTAAACTATCTCTTTTCCTTGTGATTTTGAAAGTTAATGGTGAGTATGTGGTATGACCAAAGAGGGAAAGCCCCATCACAAAGAGTTAGGGTGTTGTCACAAATGCCATAGGTGTGTGACTAAAGCAATCAAGACCCCATGATGTCAACACACACATACACATACACAAAGAAACCAAGCCACATAGTGGAAAATATCAGTCCACCTCCATCTTGGAAGCTAGCCACTCTACATGCAGTGGTGAGTCTGCCATACATTAACCTCGAACCAGGCTTTTTATGACAGCATGATACCCAATTTTTTTTTATAAAACATGATTTTCTAATGTTAGCCTAGGATTTTTAGTTGAGTGAAAATTCAACAAATTGATAGTCATAACTACATTAACTTTAATAAGTGTCTAAAACTTAAGCCAAAAAGCTTCGACATACTAATTGTATCGACCTGTTAGTTCAACTGACCTGTAAGCGGAGTTAAGGTCAAGAAAGTCTTGGAGGAGTCTCAAGAATAAATCCACAAGATTAGGATGACTCTCTCTTCGAAACATGTTCAGAATCTTGAAAGATCACATAGAAACCCTTCGACACGATGTCGAAGTCGACACTTTTTAGTGTTAAGGACTTAGAATATTTTCAAGT